AAAATCCCAGCCTGGATAAAATGCATTTGAAAACCCACCTGTGAATTCAATCAGCAGCTTTTCTTCCCGTTGCTCCCCAGATGTTTTCCCTAGTTGCTGGCTTTTGGAGAGGAACGTGCTTTGGCACGGCACAGTGCCACATCCTCCTTTTATGGGCGCAGCCCCGCCCCTCATGCACCTTTTATGGGCATATCTGGATAACAAGTATGTGCAGGGTATGTATGACATTTGTCTGATAGTCATTTTAGTTGTATTTGAAAGTCCAAATATCCACATCTTAAAATGTGGCTTAAAATTCCCATGTAAAATTTACACCTCTGTTCTCTTGTGAATTCAGGGAACGGGAACAAAACTCAGAATGAAACCCAGTTCCACGTGACCACCCTCTTGTTCCTAGCTATGAGTATAGTGCACTTCAGCCTTCTGCTGAATGCCTTTTTGATGCATTCACCTCCACAGGGAGAGCTGTAATTAATTGATTTTTCAATTCCTTGCTAATAACAAGGGTGGGAAAAAAACAGTAATTTTTCTCACCTCAGGAAAAAGGTCAAAATAAACATTTCAGTTTGAGTGAGACATTTGATCTAATAAAACCAAAAGGCTTTGTTTAGCAGATTGGTTTTATTTTACTCAGGCACATTTTAAAAATGAAATTGTTTCAGAATGAAAAAAGATCAGGAAGTTCCATTGGCAGAAGTATGTAAAGGAAAGATTTTGTTTAGAATTTATGAACTTTGAGGCTGAACAGTTCAAGCACGTGCACACAAATTTGAGAATCCTTTTATATGATCCAAACATAACAAATTTGAAGAATAGAACTTGGGCAATAAAAAAGAAGTCATACTATCCTCTTTTGGTAACTGGGATACTGTCATTAAGAGAAGTTGGTACCCTAAAGCCAACCAAGGCATCTGGAATGGAAAACAGAACTGAAGAAAGATTTGGTGTCCTTATACAGTGCTCAGATCACTGGCTCTATTCTGCCTCCTTGTGTTGATTTTCAGCATCAGTAGGAATTAATATACTAAAGGTGCCTTCACCAGTTGCATACACAAAGCTTGTTTTTTTGCTATAGCTAAAAGAAATACATTTGTTTATGTTATATATATCGTTAAGGACCTGCTACAATTGCAATTAATACCTGTTTTCTTCTTCTCTCCCCTTTTCTTGTTTTCCACCAGTTCATGTTTCGCACTGAAGACGTGAATTGCATTTTGACTGATTGGAGAGGAGGCTCCAGCGGTTTGTACACCGACGCAGTTAACAACGTCCGCATTGTGGGGGCTGAGCTGGAGTATCTGGTGAACTTTCTCGAGGTAAAAGTACCTATGGAATGTGAAAATTAGTTTACAGTCTGTATGGTAAAGCTTGCGTTCAGAGTGGCACCTTTAGTTTTGATTCAATAGAGCCAGGAAACACAGAGGTAGTTGGTAACATAACTGAAAGTGTCATTAAAGGGCTCTAATCCCACACAAATGGAAATACCTGCTTTAGCACCAGACCACAGATAAGCATGTCCCCAGAGGCTTACATGCCATGGTTGCTGAAAGTTTTTACTGGATAAGACATCAGATTGGAGACTGTCTAACAAAACTGGTAGGTCAAGAGTGGTAATTGAGGACCAATATGGTTAAAATATCCCTCTGTGGGTCATACATGCTGCGTTCTGAAGGAACTGAATTGCAGCAGAGAGAACTGACTCTCCTTCAGCTGCCAACATCAGCCTTCCCCTGCTGAAACTCAGCCGAGCCTGGCACACCAGCAGCATTCCTGGCATGGTCCTCCCCATCCTTAAGGACCTGTGAGGTGGAGCATTTCCATAACGGGATGCACACTAGATTCACACAGATGGTATGTCCTGACAAAGGCACAACTCCTCCACCACAGACTCCTATCCTGAACAGACAGACATGTTCAGGGGTGAGGCAATGAGGTCATTCATCTTTTGGAAAAGCAATCAGTTCAAATGTAGGGACTTATGTGCAGAAATTCCATCTTCCTTTTCTATCATAAAGGCCAGTTCCTTACAGAGGTAACTGCCTTCCAGAGGTGCAATATAAGAGAGGTGGGATGAGTGGGGAATTGCTTCTCTTTAGGTAGAGATCCCATTGCCCATAACTGTAACTTTCCACATAACACACTCGCCTCCATGCGAGTGTGCTCCCACTGCTCTGTCCATGTCCTGGCACTGCATGGGGCCATGATGCAGTTTAACAGACTCGTATCCCCACACTGGTTTTTTAACTTTCTGTACATCTTCACAGAAGGACTATGGCTACTCTCCTGCCAACATTCATTTCATCGGCCATAGCCTTGGAGCACATGTTGCAGGGGAGGCAGGGAGAAGGAAATCTGGCATTGGAAGAATCACAGGTACTGAAGCTATTCCTGCTGATGGAACTTTACACTTTCATGAAACTGAAGAGTCACTGCTTATTTATAAACACACAATACAGGCTGCAGTGTGCTGGTTTGTCATAAATAACAGCAACCAGCCAACATGATATCACACAAGTCATAGGATAAGCCATTCCTATGGAACACCAGCATTTCACATGTCAACATTCACAGCTCTGAGACAGGCTCAACTGCAGTGGATCAAAAAGGCTTAAGTGCCTGATTGGGGCTAAGTAGAGGTCACTTTTCACAGGTCACAGGGAAAAAAGATGTGCTACCCATACGTGCTACTCCCAGGGAGCACTAGATTATGATTTGTAATGATTTAGAGAATAAGAAGAGAATGTTGTATTGTTTGTGGAATAAAAGACCTATAAAACACTAGCAAAGCATTGTCATATTTGGTTTTAAAAACCCACTCTAACATGACTTTTCAGCAGTTCAGGAGTTTGAAAATCTGAAATGAAAAATTAACCCCCCTAGATAAGATGGTATAAAATCCCACCAGGATAAGATGGTAAATAGCCACAGACACCCTGAAAATGGAGAAAGCTGTTGGCCACACAGCCACACACACAGAGACACAGCATCCTGACACACTCACACATAGCTTTTTTAAAAGACTCACCATTTTCTGCTTTCCTTCTCCTCCAGTCAGTTCTTTTCTCTGCACAGACATTGGTTTGTCTAAGCCATGAACACAGTAAGTAGTTCACCTAAGCAGTTCAGGGAAACTGGGATAAGAGATGTATTTTCCTTATCTCCGAGGGGACCTCATTGACACTGACGGGCTACCATTTTCAACTAAGACCTTTTGGATTTGTGGCCAAATAAAATTTCTTAAACAAATCTACATGCTCAGAGTAACATACCAAGATTTCATATTTTTGCTAACATCCAAAAAAACCCAAAGTGAAAACTCAACAAACCTCTTTGTATAACATTTTCCCCCAAAAGTAAGCCAAGCAGCCATCATACTGTGCTGCAATGTCTCCAGTCCCTTCTTTATTAAAACTCTACTGTTTTGCTGGCTGCAAACCACAAAATGCATTTTTCCATGAGGAGTAAAGGCAGGAATGTAATGACATATAGTATACACACCCTGTATGTGATGATATACATACAGTATTATTTACTCAATCAGATGTATCTCCATTCGTTTAGGTTTGGATCCAGCTGGGCCTCTTTTCCAATACACTCCCACAATGGTTAGGCTGGATCCTTCAGATGCAAAATTTGTTGATATAATTCATACTCATGCTGGTCATCTTTTCTTTGACTTTGGTAAGTTTTCATCTAAAGGCTGACATGGACACATAGGTTGACCACAGTGTACCTGAGAGTGACCTACCTGGACTCATTATGCATTTCAGCTCCAGGGATTCTTCAGACTTGTGGCCACCTGGATTTTTACCCAAATGGTGGGAAGAAGATGCCAGGATGCTACCAGCTTCATGTACCTCCTGCAACTTGGAATGTCAATGACCTTATGAGAGGTAAATGTATTTTAAAGAAGTAATATCTCATTGGAAGATACAGTTAGAAATTAAGACTAGGATAAGGTAAAACCTTTTGAATGTTTATCTTATTTATGTAGCTCAGATTTGGGGGGGGGAGACAGTGCTCAAAAATGGAACATTTTTGAAACTCTGAAACACCCTCAAATTTTCTTTTATACTAACCAAGGCAAATTCCAGATAGAAAATTCAGTTAAAAAATGAAAAATTGTTCACCACAAGCTTTATAAGAGCCTGCCATTGTGCTGACAGACTGAGCTCAGCGGGAATTCCCCACATGAAGGACTGGTAAAATTTCATTTAAGGTCAATCCAAAAATGAGTATTTTAAAATCTGAGCTTCCCTTCTCCCTTGAAAGACATCACTCCCAATGTTACTGGGACTCATCCATGCCATTAAGCTTTAGTATCTTCAAAGGGAACTGTCCAAGGTTAGAAATATAAAAGATGATAAAATGCCTCTTCCATTAGTAATTCATGTTCTTCAAAGAAAGCTGGGTGGCTAATCAGAATTACCTTGGAATCCAGTACAGTAGTTCTAAAAAATCCTGTCTTCTGATCCTAACCTACAGAAATGAGAACATCTGTTCCTCACAGCTCAATGTTTTGAAATCCCTGCCACTAGTTAAATAATTGGCTTTCAAAAATGCTCTGTCTTAGAACTGATTAAGAACATAGTAACAAAAAGAACTGACAACTGTCTGTGCACAGTCATTTGGAACCAAAACACTTTCCAATTGAACTGCATAAAAATGTCTGAGTTTTCAGCACAAATAAATATTTTCGAGATACATTTCACAAGACTGTTTGCAATGTCTTGTCATGAAGGAGAAACAGCTCTATTGAACACAAGCAGATAGAATTGGTTGTTCATGCAGATCATAAAAACAGAGACAGCCTTAACTTCTTCCTCTTGGTTAAACCTTGCATTGTGTATTTCTGTTCTGTTTGGTAATAATAACATTTATGTAGTGCTTTTATGTATGAAGTGCTTTAGAAATAATATTTACTAATTTTTTTTTCTACAGTTTTTAATGCAGTAGGGAGAGTACAGCTCTCCCTATTAAGTGAATTTGGCACTAACACAAATTAAGCCAACTGTAAGAGCTGAGGGTTTTAAAGTTAAAAGCATAAGCCCTTATGAATTAAAGAAGGAGCTATGAAGAAAACATACTCAGGCAGCCTCGACAATGCAGATTATTATCAAGAAAAACATACAAGTACTTTTCAGAGGAGGTTTGGTGTGGTTTTTTTTTTTCTTTCCTTATGCAAAGAACAATGTGTCAATTGGTCAGCACCAACTGGTATAAGTTTAGGATGCATAAATATTGATAGTAGGGGTTCTGATTTCACTGTAAACTATGCCAGCTTGCAATTACTTCAGTGCCTCCAAGACTTCCCCCTGTGATTAGGTGAGCCCCCCTCCAACACGCTGAAGGAGAATAGGGCCTACTCTTATACAACCAACCTAACTTTAATATATTGTGTTTTGATGAAGGAGAGACTTCAGAGTCAAGGAAGACGACACTTTTTACAAGGGACCTAAACAGCATTTTCTTCTTTTCTTACTGCCTGCTTATAAATTTCACTCTGATGGGAAAATGTGATTGTTTAAAATAGTTCTGACAAAATCAAGAACACATTGCCATACATTTGGCTTTTCAGAGAATTTCACAGAATCTCTGTTACATTACTACAGATTTTCTAGATGTTAAAAACACTGAAAACTACTAAATTTAAAGTAATTACTACAATTACCTTTAATTCTAGATATTATTGGAAAATGTGGTTTTACAAAATAGCACGTAGTAGTAACTGTAAACAAATGAAAACTACTTCATAGTAACTACTGTTTGCCTTACAAAACCTAAGCTATGAATTCTTTCAGTCTTTGAAGTATCAAAAGGAAATTCTCCCAAATCCTCGTTTCTCATGCTAAAGTAAAAGTAGTTCAGCCCACATACAGGACAAGAGGCTGCACGAGTCCACCAAGCTTGGTGCATCTCCACCTCTGGTAGAATCCACCTCTTCCCCACTGAAAAAAGCATAAATACGCTTTTTTACTCTAAAACCAAATAATTCGCCCTTTGCATGTCCTTTAATTATCCCTTTTTTTTTTCTTTTAACCTGAGATGTCACTATTTGTGCAAATGTTTTTGAGAAAAAGTAACCAACAAATGTTGCTTTGGCATGGACTTTATGTTAGTGAATAGCTTTAACTGTTTTTCACATGTTGTTTGGGGTTTTTTTCCCCAGCATATAGAGCTATCGGATGTGGGCATAAAAGAAGTCTCCGGTATTACGCTGAGAGTATTATCACTCCAGATGGGTTTGTTGGGTATCAGTGTGAAACATACCGAGATTTTGTATTGGTAAGTATCAGGTTTATATTTATCTGAGGAGTTATAGCCCTACCTTTCTTCTCTTAGTAGTTTCTGGAACAACTTCTACATTCAGGATCATGGGATACATGGGGTGGCTGTGCAGAATTAATGACCACCTTCATTCAGACCACACTCAACACCAGGCAAATTTTAAAGCAGCAAACTTTAAAAAAATATCTAGAATAAAAAAGGACATGAAATATAAACACCAAAAACCATTACAAAGGGTGAGATGAAGAGGTGAATAAGAGGGTAATGGGAAAAAGTGTCTGGGCTCACCTGTTGGGTAGATCAGCAGTAAAGGTCCCTCTGGCTCAAGGAAGTCCATCTAAACCTGACGGAGCCCATCATGAAAAGGACAGCCCCTGGATTTCAGAAAAGCTTAACTGTATAAAAAATAAACATCCACAATATGTAAGGCAGGGGGGATATTTATCCAGCACAGCATTGCTTACACAGCTCTCAGGCAGTGCAAGAAAGAAGGCAGCATAATGTCCTGGTGTTTCATATCTGATGTAATTGGGCTTTATTGAACCGCTTCTGGCAATGCAACTGAGCACAGGCCAAGAAGGAAGACGTGTCTGATTTATTTCCATCTACTCCCAAAGGACAGATTGCAATAAGGCAAAAAATGTTGTTAACATTTATATCAATGTTGCCATGTAACTTGAAAGTTTGATGTCATTCAGGACTTGAAAACCTCAACCCTGTGCAACTTAGTAATGTTAGGGAAATGTTTTTTTTCCATTTCATAATAGACAAGTGATGATGATCATTTAGCTTTTTAGTCATCAAATGCACAAATAGCCAAAGATTCACAAATACCAGTTCCAACAGAATCTCCCATATATAAAACTAAACAATGTAAATATAAAAATGCTATTTTTCCCAACTGCAATAATCTGCTTTCATGTTTTTTTCTTTCTTCTTTTTTTTAATGGATGACAAACTCTTGATCTGATTGTCTGCTCTTTTTAATATATTAATTTCACTGAGGCTCTGCATGGGAATAAAGGCTGTAGAGCAGACAGAACAAATTCCAAAGTGAGAGTCTAAGTTCAGTATTCCTGAACTTAAATGTTTTTACTGTAAGAGTGAGATATCCAGCCTGACCTCCTTTGAAATATGGTTAACCGTCCTGTCACTAGCAGAAAACCTTTCAATGGACCCTGTGAAAGATAACCTGTATTTTACAGGCACAATGTGTGTTAAGGTATTTACTTATGGTCCCTGCAAAACCACAAGGAATTAGGACAGATTTTCAGCCTCTCCGATTTCCAATCAGATAAAATTACCTGGCTGACCATCTCAGCTTCTTTTTCCACCAAACCAATAAATATTGAATATATGATCTGAACTGAGAAGCAAGTACCTTTTCCAAAAAAAGGCTGGGGAAAAAGCTGAAATATGCTAATTTCTTAAGCTTTAAGAATTGAGATTAAAACAGAAAATGTCTTGTAATGCACACTGTTATTTTCCCTCCAGGGATACTGTTTCCCATGTCCAAAGGAAGGATGCCCACTGATGGGTCATTATGCTGATAAGTTTTTATATAAAACTGAAAAAGAACAACAAAAAGTTTATTTAAACACAGGGGCCTCCTCTCCTTATGCTCGTAAGTGCTCATTTTGGCTGGTGTATTCTAAAGTGGCAATTAATTATGTGTGAAAAAGGACCTTACACATCTGCAGAGAGCTGCTGGAGTTAATGAGTGGCACTCATTAACTAACAAATCTAGAATTTCAGGTATGTTAGGAACATGCAGTACCAGCATTATTTGGGAAAGCTGAGATAATTGTGGAAAGATATCAAATGATGCTCAACTTTCAGTTAAACTTGGTTATTACATCATAGCTTAGAAATTCTGTACAGATAAAGGTGGGAGGGATGCTATGCTGGAAGTGCATAATTTCAAATAGGAAACTGTTACAATTCTTTTATTGACAAAAATTTATTAAAATTTCAAAATAGTTTCATGAAGCTCATCAGGTCAAAATGTCAGGGAGTAATAAGAAATACAGGTTTAATTGGTATTAATGTAGAAGCAAACACAGAACTGGGAAATAAGAAAATTAATAAATAAATTGTAATTCATCGCAGGTGATCAAGTTAAAGGGTAATAAATGAGAGAGGGTCTTTAAGGTTTCTATTCACTAGACACTAAAATATAAAAGCAAAAATAAGAACAACAAAAAAATCTTATATTATACCTTCCTAAGAGCAAAAAGTAAAAAAGTTGGACTATAGAGAAGCATGCTATTTCTCCAGTCTGAATGAATACAGTGATTTCAACATTTACAAGCTGTTGAGTTTATAGTAATTATAGCCTGAAAGACAAACCTAACCTTATGATTGGGTGAAGAGATTCTTCTTTGAATAGTCTGAATTAAAGCCAGTATAAAAAAACTTTCCAACCCAGGTTGCTTGAAATCAATATGTGCTATTGCATCGAAGGCCCTTCTTCTGCCTTAGACAGACACGGGTGATGATACGATCTGAAAGCTTTTGGGATGTGACAGGTTTTAGAAAACCCCTAAACACTCAGAATCATTCTAGGAAAACAGAACGTTTTCTTTATTATGTCTGTAACACAGCAGTCCAGTGGGCCTCACTGCATAGCTGAGAGTTAACATGCTACTGATGCAACCCCTCAAATTGCTCATAAATGTAAGAAATTAAAAAATTAATAGTGAGGCCAAGTGGAAAAGTACAGCATTGACCACGACAATTAAATACTCAGCACATTCAGGAGGATGGCAAAGACTAGACCAGTAATTTTAAACCACTGTCAAGAAAATTAAAACTACCAGAATCACATGGAACATTTTCCTTAAAAAAAACAAAACATTTTTTTTTGCTTATAGGCACATTTGTGCAATCCTTTCCTTTCTCTGAAAGACATTGAAACATGCAAGAAATTTTGTCACTAAGAAAGAAATTTCCTTTACAACTATGATCCATTTGATTTTGCTTTCAAAGGCTGGAGAAAAGAGATACATGTCAAAGTATGTGCAACAGAAATCACGAAGGGAAATATAGATGTCGCCTTGACTGGAACTAATGGGATCAGGAAAAAATACACAATTGACAAGTAAGTTTAATATGACTGTTGAAAAAAAGGCTCTATCTTTGTTGTCATATTGCATTTATATACAGCTATTTTTACATGCCTCATCTTGTTCTATTGTGTCTGCGATTTACACTAGTAATAAAAGTAGCTGGTAAGTGGTTGAAGTTCCCCGTGCTACAGATTGTGGTAAAAATCTGTCTGCTGGTCTCTCTTGCTCTGTATTTTCTTTTGTTTTCTGAGGTTGATGGTTAGCATGGCTAATTGGGCAAGAGCAAAAAGCTCTGTGGCTACTTCTGGACTCAAACACGATACAGTGTTCTCTGAGAAGACAAAGAGCTGTGTGATGTACAGTCATTTAATTACCCCCTCCTCTGGGGAGTATTTGAGTAAGAGAATTGCAGCTTTCTTATGAACTGTGCTGGAATATGGATTCCTGTCCACTCCACCTGGATTCTTCCAATAAATGTGAATTTAAATCTCAATAAACAGACCCTGGGCAGGAACATAGCTTAAAATTATAAAACCAACCTCCTCTGTGCTTGAAACAGCCCCCTTACTGGTCTGTACCAGGAGTATTTTTGGCTATAAATACCCAACTGCAACAATACACTTACAGATAATTTCTAGGTTAATGTAATGTGCGTTCTGTTATAGTGAACAGTGATGCCACAGAAGGCACAAATTTAAACTGTAATTTTCAATTTTCTTCATGGTTGAGAGAAAAGCCAGAAACACTGACCGAACTTTGTGACTTGGATTTATGTGAGAAAGGAATCTTATTTTCCAAAAATAACGTACAGAATAAACCATGGCAATACTGACAAGGGATGTACTAACTAATATAGTGTTTCCATCCTGAGAGGCACAGGAATTCAAGCAGCTGTGTAATTTGCATACATATAGAGGTCCCTCTGAGTAGTTATCACAATCACCTGTAAGCAGGAATGTTGTTTCCTGTGTTTTGCCAGGTAAGATTAATAATGAGACTTTGTGTCCTTCACCAATTTGCCTAGCTGGTATCTTTACCCCAGAGTTCAGCCAAAGGGGGAAAAAATTACATTTAGTCCTCAGAACTTCCCCCAGCTACTCAGGATAAATAATTTTGGGAGAGATGAGGTAGACTCAGCACCACGATAATAGCTTCAGGGAAGCCAAAAAATTGCAATACTATTGTGGAGGAAGAAATCAACCAAAATGTCAAGAATACATTCTTTTCTAATTCTTACAAAAAGGATTAAGTGAAAAGTTCATTATGAATACATATAAATATATATATATATATATACACACATATATATGTGATACATGGCTTGCATGACTAGTCACAGAGAGGTCAGCATTTGATGTTTCTGGACCCGAGACATGATCTGCTACTGCTAGAGCTGGAAGATTCAGATCTGTGTGATCTGGTTTTGCATAACAGTTCTGTATGTTCCCCAAGGAACACATACTCTAAGAACATGCCTTAAGCTAAAATTTTGCCTGACTTCCCTGATTTGTAACTCTATAAAAAAAAAAGTAATAAAATGTTAACACTAGTATTCAAAGCTCAACTCAAGCATCCCACAGCTCATCTTCCTTACTGCCTGTACTGTAGTGGTTTTTTCCCCCTCATTTGTGTAGAACACTGAGCATCACTTTTGTGCTTTTATTTTGGCAGGGGAACTTTCCAACCAGGCAACACATACTTGAACTATATTGATACAGAAATTTCTGGGAACATTTCAAAAGTTGAGTTTCTCTGGAAAAGGCATCTGGGTCATATAGACAGGGGCTGCATGGGAGCTGAAGAAGTCACAATAATATCTGGGGAAAATGGAAATAGGTAAATACACAACCTAATTATCTGTGGGTGAGGAGAGATACAAGTGGGGAGGGAGGGGAATGACAACCAACTAGCCAAGAAAAAAAAAAAAGGGGGAAAAAAAAAAAAAGGAAAAAAATACACCAAACACCTTTGCATGGTATTGTGTTCCTTAAAGCAAGACCTTTCCAAAAATCAGAGATGTCAAATCTGAAATTCAGAGAGGGGCTGTAGCCCTGCACTAGTAAGAAATGTAGGAGTTTTTCTCCTAAATTACAGTTTCATGTGCCTACATCTCTATTGACAGAGCACACCAGAAACACCTCTGTAGAGTACGACACCGTACTTGCCTGGGCAGGGTACCCTCCACTGACTCCAACCTCAGCCATGGACCTGGCACCCACTGGCATCTGCAGGACATTAGACACACTTTTGTAGCACACCTCTTGTTTAGTTTTAACCCAAATTATCTGATGCTGATGCATCCACACCACTCTGTCACATAATCCCAAGCGCAGTAAATGGGGGAAATGGAATGAGCAATTCCCTTCAAAAACACACTCCTGTCCCAAATTAAAATGCTAATGGAGTGTGGGCATAAAGGCAAACACATTCTAAAATTTAATAATTAGTCATTAATTAGTAATTCTTAAAAAAAAATTTCATAACACACGCTTTATGTTCTCAGTCCACTGGAACTCATGTTTTGCCTGACACGAAGGGAAGAGGAAGGATTTCTATTGATTCTGTTAGGCTGCTGCTAAGAAAATGGCCATTGTACTGAAAAATATTTCCTTAAACTCTTCCCCCCTTGGCAGGTCTGTGTTCTGTGGGTGTGGGACCGTGCAGCCGAGCATGTGGCAAGCCCTGGCAGTTTGCTGAGGCTGAGCCAGGAATGCCGTGGTTGTCCACTGTGGCAACAGTCACCATCTGGAAGAGGACACTTCAGTCAGCAGCAAACGATTAACAAGGTTCCCTTGGTAGATTCTGAACAGTTTGTCTAGCCCATTACGTGAGCTGTATTTCCAAGACAGTGTTGTCAGCTTTTCTCCATACAGGCAAGTTACACTCCTTTGATTTGTAATTACAACGACAGCTAACATGTGTGTTACCAGGTCCCATTTGAAACCCTATCGTCTTAGGAAGAGCACCCAAAGAGAAGCAATTAAAAAAAAAAAATTAGGGGGAGAAAAAAGAAGCATAGATAGATAAAATTAATTAAAAGTGTATACTTACTCGTTCAGGAAAAAGATACTTGCATGCTTTTAGAAGCATCTAATTGCTTCTATGTCTTCAAGCGAGATTACGTCTTCAAGTAAGGAGTTTGAGGAATTATTTTAAATATAAAAATAAGCAGAGTTTGAATAGTGCTATCTGACATGTCCTGCCTCCCTGAGGAACACTTTTAAGCAATATTTTAGCAGCACAACCAAAAGACTGCTTAGGAGCTGGGATTATGTATCAAGTTGTACAGAGGAACTCTACTATTAAATTCCCCATGCACTGGGCAGGACAGCTTAAGGTACAGCAAAATATTTGATTGTTGCCTTTTCCTGGGGAAAAACTCATTCATGAGAGCTCTGCTGAACGCTGGGTCAGCTGGGATGCTCTCAAAACTGATTTGTACTATCGAGGAACTTGAATTTTCTGGCAGTCTTCAATATGTAACTATTTTTTTTTTACCAGTGAAGCTGAATTTTCCACCTGTACTTTGCCTTTGTGAAGATGCTTAAGTCAGGCTTGAGCTACATTATTTGCATTAGCATTGCCACTCCAAATTTGTTAGCATTTTGACTGTACTGATTAACAAAACCAGAGTAGCCAGAGTTATCAGCATCAGCCAAAATAAGCTAAGGTTGTTTTTGTTTCAACACAAGCTACCCACAAAAATTCTTTGAGTTTTTAATTACCCTAAGACATTCAACTAATTTTTACATCTGATGTAAGGTTTGTCATTCGGGTGCAGAAATTATGTCTCTCAATTATGTTGGCTAACTGTGTTCTGTCCCGTCCTAACAACAATATTCCAGAATATTTCCAGTGGGGTTTACCAAAAGGTATTGATGACGTGTCACCCAAGGCTAAATGTTAGTGATGAACAAGTGTGTTTCAAATTAGGCAGCAATAATTTTGAGATGTCAGAACCCTGTCACCTCCTGTGAAGTTTGCTGAAGGAGCTTGCTTAGGACATTTGACAAATCAGCTGTCTGCCTTCTCAGACTCACTGCTTCTGTGCCCTTACCATCTCCAGGTGAGCAGAGTAGGATCCAGAAATTGTCTCCAGCAGGAAATTCATCCTTCTTTACCCCTTGGCAAGATGCCCTTTCTGAGCAAGAAGGGATTCCCCTCTTCTGTGCTCCCCTGGAGACAAACAAAACATTTTGTACTTATACACAGTTGGGAAATATCTGCAGCCAGTATTACAACATCTTTAACATCCTCTGTAAATCACGTGTGGTTTTCTGCCCCACAATTGCACAAGTTAAAAGAGACTCAGAGAGGGAAAAAGAAAGACTTGTTTTGCCTTTCTTACAGTCAGGAACTGAAGCAAAATAAATGTAAATCACAAAAAATTGTTCAGCAGGGCCAAGAACTGGATTTAATAACATGAGACAGGAGTGTGATCAGTGCCATGTAGGGCATCGCTTCTCACAGAGCAGAAGCAATGTCCCCTTGAACTCAAGAATTTCCTAAAGCCCATCCCCTCTTGTCTCCATACTTGACTGTGCTACTTTTGCAGTTCTAAAAACTAACTTGATATTTTTATGAATAATACCTCATTTCCAAATACAAGTTTCATTTTGTTTCTTTTAAAACTATTGGTTTCAACAACATTCTGACAAAACAAGACAGTTCATATGGGCTGATGACTTGTGCTATAGGTGTGGTACAGATAATTAGACCACTTAAAAATATGCATTTTCTCACCCAATAATTTCAGCTAAAAATAAAATATTGCATTAATTTCTTCCCGTTGTGTTGTCCTGTTTTCATTTTTGTGATATGCTATTTCTTGACTTCATTTTTATTCTTTGGTATAGTTGACATTAACACTGCATTTCTTTGCTAATATATTTTTAGACAAAGCAAGAGATTTATTTTTGTGAGCTAAAGGTGAAAAAAACCCACATTGACATCAGCTGTATGTGCTGGTAGCAAATAGTCTTCTTCCTTGTTTCTTTCTGTATTTTAAAATTAGAATTCATTTATTAATGTTACTTGTATGAAATCTTTGGATACTATTATTTTGTATTAATAAGCTACTAAAAAAAATGCAAGTGTTTGATATTTCATCAGACAATCTGCCTTTGACTAACCTGGAACAGGTAATTCTTTCATGTCTTTACAACAGGGTAGGCCAGCTTTCAGAATAATTTAAATTGCATCTTTAAAATGTCAAGTGAGATGTACCACCTCATGCATAAGATCACATGGCCTAGGATTAAGTCTGTTTTCCCAGTTCCATTCTTGCAGGGACATCTCCCCCCTCCCTTCTCTTCCATTTCCTTCTCGATATTTTCATAGCAGAATTATTTACTGTGATAAACTATATATATTTTTAGAGAGATTGTTTTTGTTAAGCTTACTAACACTTCAGGCTATGGATGTGCGATTTCTATATGTATTTTTCTCATAGCTGTTAAGGGTACATATATACATTTTAAAGGGTTTTTTTTAAGCTTAGTAAAACTTCATATGCAATATGCATTCCCCACGTAACTGTGGAATGCTGTTAACAAACTGCCGTTTGTTCCCAAGGTTGATAATGAAAGGGGGGTAGTCTGACCCTGTAATTTAAAGTACCCTGATAACATCATCCAAGGCCACAACCTGGAGACACTAAGAGGCTCCCCCTAAACAAGGAGTCAAAAGTGATTTAGGAATGTGATAAGCCTGGGAGGGGAGGAGAATACCTTTTAAATGCGCATATTCCAAGCTGGGGTCATCTACCGAACACAGAGGAAGAGGAGAAATCTTCCTCACGAAGACCCCGGCCCACCGACGCTGGGAAACACTGCCCAGGAACATGTATGGGAAAAACTTTGCAACGGAGCATGTGCAAAGAGCACATGCCCGGGACTATGTATAAATAAGAACCTAGGTACTGAGCATGTCTGGACGGGAACCCAGAGGGTTCAAAAGGAGGAATTGAGAGGTCGAGAGCGGGCGAGCTGTGTGAGAATTTATGTTCTAGCAGCCCCCGGTGCGCCGTAATTGTGCATCTACCGATTACTAATAAATTGGCTTGTTAATTTGCATTAGCCTTCTCAATTTCTTTAAACCATCGCTAGTAACTTATAACATTTACCTACAGTTCCAACTCCATTCATTTAGTGCAACTTACTGATTTTTCCTACAGCAGGCTCCAATTCTCAAGTATGTGTCTGTTTATAGAAAGTAAAATAAAAACTTAGGAAAGGAATTTTGCTGAGACTTTAGTGTAGTCAAGGTATTCTTGTGTAACTCCTGGCTCTAACAGTCATGTTTGTCAGGCTCCTAGGACAGAAGCAAAACAAAAGAACTTTGTGCATGTCCAACATTTGAGTATTTTTCCAAAACCAAAGCTGACTGGAGTAGCAGTTGCCATTGGGAGAGTAAAGAATTGGTCTATCATGGACCTATCAGTAAATCCATCTGAAGGGGCTCACTACAAAACTTTTGGCTCTCTTATTCTTCTTTCATCATAACATGGTATCAGGGACTTTGTAATTTCAAATAGATTCCAAACTGCTATAAGTTGTTCTGTTTCCAATACTTAGGAAGCAGAAGCTGATAACATGTGCACATCTATTTTTATGGCATATTTCCAAGATAAAACAGAGCCAGTAATCTGCTCTGTAACTAGTAAGGGTAGAAAAACTTACAGAGAGAACATGCATCATCCCCAGCCCTTGCACAAACAGAGCACACCCACGTTGCTGTGCTGCGGGAACACACACCTCCCTCCCCTCCCTGCCACCGCGGGGCTGGATGGGGCGAATGCCTTGCAACACCGGAAGCATAAACAATATGTGAAAATGCAGGCTGGCAGTGGTGTCAGTCTCCTGTCCATCCCGTAATTTTTTCCTTTCTTGTGATGCCAGAAAAGCTTAGGGCCAAATGCAGATGTCCAGAGTCCTAGATTACTAGCTTTGTTCTGAGCCCTAGGCTGTGCAGAGCTTCTCAGAGCCGTGCTTTTATCCACCTACTCATTCATAATTTGCATTTGCCTTTCAATTTCCAACGCAAATCTACAGTTAGTGCCTTTTATTTCACCTGATTCTTTCAAATGAGTTAATATCCCAACATTAATAGGACATAAAGCATTTAGAATAATGAACCCTCTTCCCTTTAATTCTGCCCATTACTTGTAAAGAATGTCTGGCTGTCCTTACTGACTCCTCTCTGCCTTTCGTTACTTTCATCAGCTACTCCATAAATCTCCAGCTCACAAACCAATAGTTAACATTATCTTTGCTTACTTTGACTGATTTAATTAACTATCAGTATGTATCATGGAAGATTGTGAATATTCCCTTTTTTACTGTTGTGTGATACTGGAAAGGATACACAAGGCAAATTGGTTTTGTCTCTATTCAGTATAAAATTTCTTCACTGACTAGTGAGGAAAACATTGCAGTTAGACAATAGAAATATCAAGAGAGAGTCTTTTATTCATGGCTCTGCCACTCAGGGACTACTGGTAAGATCCTCCAAGGAGCTGAGTGGTCTTTGTCTATACATATTGACAATTCTCAAGGGGATGGAATAAACAAAGCTGCTTCCAGATGACCTCCACCCAAGGTAAGAAATTCATTAACCATCTTCAATCTAATATTGAAATGAGAGAGAAAAATATCGGGTTTACAATTTTATAGACTTGTCTTTCTGTGAAAGCCTCA